TGAACAAAATCCACCGTCTCGTCATAATAAAAACACTCAACAAAGGAGGACTAGAACGGAACTCCCTCACCCTGTAAAGGACTTCTACAGAAAACCACAGCAAACCTCACACTCAGTGGTGAGAGACTGAACGCTTGTCCCCTCAGATCAGGAACAAGGCAAGGATGTCTGCTCTGGCTGCTTCTATTCAAAGTCCTGGAGGTTCTAGCTAAGATAGGCAGGCAAGTATATAAAAGGCATCCAGATTGGAGGGTGAGAGTCTGTGCCCAGTTCCAGAAGTGCCAGGGTCGGAGCCACTGGGGGGCGTGCCGGCATCCGTGGCCGGTGGCATTCAAACAGGGTCTGCTCCAAGCGCCTGTTACAGCCCACATGCCCCAGAATCAGGATCAAAGCAAGCTTCAAAAATAGTGCAGGCATCTGAGGACACACACCTCCTCCCCCATCCCTCTCAGCAGAGAGGCAGGCACCCACCCAGCTCAGATGGGCAGAGGTGGGGGAGGGAGAAGGAAGAAATGGAACCATGCCTGTTGCCTTTGGTGTCATCCTATGTCCCACAAGGCCAGCCCAGCGCATCCTCTGCCAGGGTCAGGAGGACAGGGCTGCCTCCTCACATATGGGAAGCTGACCGCTTTGCACAAACATACCAGCGTTAGAATGTGGAGTGTTCACCTCCCCAGGGGAGCGTGCACCGTGGAGATCCCAGGGGTCTGGCTTGGGACCCCTGGCAAAGGGGGCCCCCTTGAGCCTTCTTTCAAAGGAAGGCATTTCTCTACTGAGGAGGGAGCTGCAAAGCACAAGTGGGTGAGAGCATGGGTGGGATCAGGCTGCCCGGTTTGAAGCCCAGCTCCACCTCCTCCCAGCAGAGAGGCAAGCCCCTTCCTTTCTGTCTGTTTTATCACCTGGAAAATGGGTGTACACCAAGCTTGTCTTCCAGAGGATAAAACAAGGTTGACTCATGCAGAGGCTGTCACATCGCAGGCACCCAGCATTTTCCTTCCCCAGGCAACAGGACTCTGGTGGTGGCACAGCACAGGGTTGCAAGAACGGAACATAGCTCCCTCCAAGCCCTTTCTCGGAGCACTCCCCTGGCATCACATGCAGGAGGGAGCCTACTGGGCCCAGCAGACAGATGCTGACATTTTTTGAAACGATAAGGAGGGAGGGGGTGCATGTTTCCGAATTGGTCAGGCTCAGTTTGAGTCTCTGCTACTTTCTCACTGGGTGACCTTGGGCAAGTCACTTGCCTTCTCTGAGCCTCTGTTTTCTCATCTGTAAAATGGGGTGGTGGTGAGGATGTTACCAGATTGTGTCTCAGAGAAGGTGGCATGCAGCAAGCCTTGACTCTGCTCCTCCAGTTGTGTGCTTTCTTCCATTTAATACTCTGAATAGTGTCCTCATTTGACAATGAGGAAACCTGGGCCCAGAGAGGCTAAGTAACTTACCCAAGGTCACACAGTGCAAAATGGTAAATCTGGATTTGAATCCCAGGCCGGCCCAGCCCCCACTCCTTCAGGAACCCCTTGCTCAGAAGCTGGGCTTGTACTTATGAACAGCTCAAAAACAGAGTCAGGCATTGTCCCCTGGGGCCATGTGGTCATGATTTCTCCTTTCTCCCTCAGTCTTTCAACTCTTGCCACACAGTGGCCACACTGCACCGGAGTTTCTCCATTTCCTCTGACTGTTCTTCAGTCTCTCCTGCTGTCCAGATAAAATGACACGCTCAGAACAGGCCTGGATGCCCAGAACAAATCCCACACTCCAGCATGTGGCCCACCAAGCCCTGCGCCATCTATCCAATAGCCCACCTCCCACCCCAGCCTCCTTCACTCTGTTCCAGCCACTCCACCCTCGCTGTTTCTAGAACACAGTGTTATGAGTTGAATGGTGCCTCCCACCCCCAATAAAATTCATGTGTTAAAGTCTTAACCAACCCCCCCCAGGATCTCTGAATATGACCTTATTTGGAAACAGGGTCGTTGCAGATGTAATTGGTTAAGATGAGGTCATACAGGAGTGGGGTGGCCAAATATGACCGGTGTCCTTATAAAAGGGGAAATTTGGCCACAGACACGCACACAGGGAGAACGCCATGTGAAGATGAAGACACCGATGGGGGATTCCTCTCCAAGCCAGGGACTACTGGCAACACCAGAAGCTAGGAGAGAGGCCTGGAACAACTTGTCCCTCCCAGGGACAACCCTGTCAACACCTTGATCTCAGACACACAGCCTCCAGACTGTGAGAGAAAACATTTCTGCTGGCTAAGCCCCCCAGTTTGTGGTACTTTGTTACGTCAACCACAGGAAACAGGAAATCCACCCACCAAACTTGTTCCTGCCCAGAGCCTTGGCACTGGCTGTTTCATCTGTTTGGAATATTGATCCATTCACTTGACAGTGAAAGAAAAGGGAGCAATAGTCATTAGGCCTCCCAGACAGGTAGGAGACCAACATGGAGGGGAGGGGGACATGTCTGTCCCTGCTGGTCCCTGTTCCTGGGACCTCCTCCCCCACCTTCTCCCCTGCAGGACTGCCTCCTCCCCCGTTCTCTGTCCTTTCGCCCATTCATTTCCTTGCTAGCACGTATGGCACCTTTTAA